GGGATAACGTTTCTATTAACAATATCTTTCAGGACCCTTTCCTCCGTTTTATGAGCTGTGGAAAAGAAGTTCCTGTAAAATAGTCTGATTACATTGTAATAGTCTGATTACATAAAATAGTTGATTACATTGACTATATATATATATATATATATATATATATATATATATGTCGTACCTAGTAGCCAGAACTCACTTCTCAGCCTACTATGCAAGGCCCGATTTGCCTAATAAGCCAAGTTTTCATGAATTAATTGTTTTTCGACTACCTAACCTACCTAACCTAACCTAACCTAACTTTTTCGGCTACTTAACCCAACCTAACCTATAGAGATAGGTTAGGTTAGGTTAGGTAGGGTTGGTTAGGTTCGGTCATATATCTACGTTAATTTTAACTCAATGAACAAAAATTGACCTCATACAGTATCAAATGGGTAGCTTTATCATTTTATAAGAAAAAATTTAGAGAAAATACATTAATTCAGGAAAACTTGGCTTGTTAGGCAAATCGGGCCATGCATAGTAGGCTGAGAAGTGAGTTCTGGCTACTAGGTACGACATATATATATATATATATATATATATATATATATATATATATATATATATATATATATATATATATATATAATGTCGTACCTGGTAGCCAGAACGCACTTCTCGGCCTACTATGCAATCACTCGATAGGCCGAGTGATTTTCTTTATTTTCGAAATATTGTTTCCAATTGGTTTATATGAAAAATGTTTCCAATAGGTATATATGAAGGTTACTGTGGCTCAGCAACGCACAGCACCCTTCCCCTGTCTCCCATGTCCTCCCCACCATTACCCTCTCTCTCGTCCAATGCATTCCTAAATGATCTGATGTTCCAATCACTGATATATAAGAAAAAGAGTTAAAAAACGAAATAAAAAAAAAATTAAAATTAAAAAATAATTATACTCACGAGATGAATGGTATGGTAATCAACAGAGCTCAATTGTAACGCAATGTCACACAAAATAATTAAATAGAAATGAAAATAAATTGAAATCTATGATAATTCAATTGATCAATGCAATCGGAAACATTGAAATGGAATCGTAACTTATTTATTATAGTGTGTTGCGTTTATGTGCAACAGATGACGCTGTTTAAAAAAAAAATTAACTGTCACACGTGTGGCATTTATTTTATTAATTTATTAATTTATTTATTTATTTATTTATTTATTTATACATAGCATAGTACAGTAATTGCACTCTTGTAAAGCCACTAGTACGCGCAGCGTTTCGGGCAGGTCCTTAATCTAACAGATAATTTTAAGTAGGTTAATTCTATCAGAATTAATAACGTGATAACAAATACATTGCAAGAAAAAAAATGAGATGAGAGAGATTAGTAAGTATATTAAAGCACATTGGTATATTAAAGCTCTGATTGATTATATTGACAGCTTGATTGGTAATTTAAACAAGATTAATAGACACCATACAGCAGATTGACAGCACATATAAGACAGCAATGATCACAATGGTAAAGATGTTCAGATTGGGTATATAAAGATTGGGAGATTGGGTAGCAATAGATACAGTGCAGTTTTAAAGCAAAAGGTAAAAAACTATGAAGATGAAATTAGGTACTTTTTAGTATTGTTTTTGAATGATGCAAAAGTTGGACAGCTTTTCAATTCAATAGGGAGTGAGTTCCATAGACTGGGTCCCTTTATTTGCATAGAGTGTTTACACAAATTAAGTTTGACTCTGGGGGATATCAAAGAGATATTTATTTCTGGTGTGGTGCTATTACATCTGTCCAGGGAGAGTTTCAGAGCAGGATTTTCATTTAAGAATAGGGTTTTGTAAATGTAGTTGACACAAGAGAATTTGTGGAGTGAGATTATGTTTAGCATGTTTAGGGAGTTAAACAAGGGGGCTGAGTGTTGTCTGAAAGAAGAATTTGTTATTATTCTGATAGCAGATTTTTGCTGGGTGATGATGGACTTGAGGTGGTTTGCAGTGGTTGAACCCCATGCACAGATACCATAATTAAGATAGGGATAGATTAGTGCATAATATAGAGAGATGAGAGCAGAGTTAGATACATAATATCTGATTTTGGAGAGTATACCAACTGTTTTAGAGACTTTCTTAGTTATGTGTTGTATGTGGGTACTGAAGTTGAGTCTCTTGTCTAGGAATATGCCAAGAAACTTTCCATCATTTTTATTGCTAATATTTACATTGTCTATCTGAAGCTGAATTGCATTAGTAGATTTGCTTCCAAATAAGATGTAGTAGATCTTTTCTGTGTTAAGTGTTAGTTTGTTGGTTGACATCCATAAGTGGACTTTTTTTAGTTCATTATTAACAACATTATTTAGTGTATGTGGGTTGGGGTTAGAGTAGATGAGGGTAGTATCATCAGCAAACAAAATAGGTTTCAGAATGTTAGAGACGTTAGGCAGATCATTGATGTAAATAAGAAATATGAGAGGTCCCAAAATGCTGCCCTGTGGCACTCCAACGGTTATTGTTAGAGTGGGTGAGGTTATATCATTGGTTACACATTGGTGTCTATCACTAAGATAGGATTGGATATAGTCCAGTGTATGGCCTCGAATTCCATAATGATAGAGTTTACATAAGAGGTAATCGTGATTTACAGTATCAAAGGCCTTTCTCAGGTCAATGAAGAGTCCAATCGGAAACTCATTTTCGTCAAGGGCTGAGTAAATTATATCAAGGAGACTAATAATTGCATCGTTGGTACTCTTTTGGGAGCGGAAGCCAAACTGACAGGGGCTAAGAATGTAAAATTTTACGAGGTTGGAGTAAAGCTGTTTGTAGATAATTTTTAAAAATATTTTTGATAGTATGGTTAGGTTTGATATTGGTCTATAATTGTTTATGTTTGCCGGATTACCTCCTTTATGAACTGGTGTTACTCTTGCTTTTTTAAGGATATCAGGGAAGGTATGACACTCAAGGGATTTGTTGAACAGCAGAGCTATAGGTGGGACAAGGGCGTGGGAGGCTCTCTTGTATATAATGGATGGTATTTCACTGATGTTCCCAGCTTTGGTTTTTAGTGAGTGTATGATGGACACAACATCTGTCGGGCTGACTGGTGAGAGGAGAAGAGAGTTTGGATAGCTGCCTGAGAGATATGTGTTGATATGTGTCTGAGTCTGTGGGATTTTGCTTGCAAGGTTAGCACCAATCGATGAAAAGAAGCTATTAAATTCATTCGCCATTTCTAAATCAGTTGACGGTGTAAGGCCATCCTTAGAGAGTGTTATCTGGTTGCGGGAGTGTTGTTTAGTTCCTAGGATATTAGAGATGGTTTTCCATGTGCTTTTCATGTTGCTTTTTGCTTCTTTGAATCTAGTCTCATAATATGAAAGTTTAGCTTTTCTTATGATACTGGTAAGCACTGATGAGTACCTCTTAACTACTTCCTTTGTAACTAGGCCAAACCTAAATTTCTTTTCATATTCGTGTTTTTTTGTTGATTGATTTGATTATGCCACTTGTGAGCCACGAGTTATTTTTACTTTTATCAGTTACTTGTTTGGTAAGGAGGGGACAGTGAGTGTTGTAGAGGCTTAGAGTTTTGGAGAGAAAGAGGTTAGTTAATGAGTTTATATCCTGTGTATTATTAAATTCAGATTCTCAGTTAATATTGTGAAGTGCATTAGAAAGATTGCCTAAAGCTGATTCACTGTGTAGCCTGAATGAGAGTTTCTTGCTTTCTGATGGTGCTGTGTCCATGTTTGCTATGAGGAAGGTAGGATAGTGGTCAGTTGTTCTGTCATAAATTACCCCAGATGTAAGGGGAGCTGTTATATTAGTCCATAGGTGATCCAGGGTAGTGGCAGATGTTTGAGTGACTCGGGTGGGCTTGGTGATTGTGGGGATTAGCATACAGGAGTGCATACTGTTACGGAAATAGTCAACTTGAGGGTTGTTTTGAAGACCCAGGTCAATATTGAAATCACCTCCCAGAATGATGTGATTTTTGTTGAGATTGTTATTTATGATAAGATTCCTTACATTGTCTGAGAATGAAGCAATGTTGGTATTAGGAAATCTATAGATGGCACCGATAGTCAGAGAGGATTTAAGGGATTTACTGGAGAACTTGGCAAAGGTATATTCACAATAGTCGTCTCTATCACTGATGACACTATTGCATCTATATGGCATCTATAAAATATGTAGATAAAAACATGCACGTATTCGAAAGGAACGTTGTGTCCAAATTTCTTAGGAATCAATGAAGAACTTTAGTAGATTACAGCATGTGTTGCTCTTATGCCCAACAGATGGCGTTGTTTTAAAACAAAATGTTTTTTCCTGTCTGTCACAGGTGAGGCATGTATATAGTAGATATATAAAAACACACACCTATTCGAATGCAACGTTGTGTCAAAGTTTCAAAGCAATCGGTAAAGAGGGTTCAAAGATTTGCCTCACATGAAAAACACAGTTAAAAAAAAAATCCGTCACAGACGTGACATCTATACAGTATGTATATAATAACCCGCTTGGATGCAAATGGAAGGTTGTGTGAAAATTTCAAAGTAATCGGTGAAGAACTTTTGGAGATTAGCGATTTTGAACAAACGAACATTAACATTTTTATTTATATAGATATATACCCGTTGGAAAAGATCCGTTGAAAATGGGTTTTCATGATTTATGTGTTTTGGATGAAACGGGCGAGAGAACGGCTGTGTTTGTGCAAACAAACATGTCTTGACCTGACATGTGATGCCTGGAGGTGGGTGCATCAGTCCTGCAGGAGTTGTGATCAAGCTAACTGTGGGGCCGTTGATCTACAGTCACAGTTCTCCTGTTATGGAGCATCTGGATGTAAGTCATTGGGTCTGATGGATTACATTATTTTCCTCCAGCTGTGCTGCTCCGTCCAGTATTTTGTCTAAATGCTTGACATAAAAGATACAAGTTTTCAGCAACACCTCTCCATAGTTTCCATCTAAACTCTTCCTAACAGATAACGTTAATCCATCCTGATAACGAGGGCATGGGAAGTGTGGACCCCAGTGTGGCCAGGACAGGCGGCGGGGACCCCAGTGTGGCCAGGACAGGCGGCGGGGACCCCAGTGTGGCCAGGACAGGCGGCGGGGACCCCAGTGTGGCCAGGACAGGTGGCGGGGACCCCAGTGTGGCCAGGACAGGCGGCGGGGACCCCAGTGTGGCCAGGACAGGTGGCGGGGACCCCAGTGTGGCCAGGACAGGTGGCGGGGACCCCAGTGTGGCCAGGACAGGTGGCGGGGACCCCAGTGTGGCCAGGACAGGCGGCGGGGACCCCAGTGTGGCCAGGACAGGCGGCGGGGACCCCAGTGTGGCCAGGACAGGCGGCGGGGACCCCAGTGTGGCCAGGACAGGCGGCGGGGACCCCAGTGTGGCCAGGACAGGTGGCGGGGACCCCAGTGTGGCCAGGACAGGCGGCGGGGACCCCAGTGTGGCCAGGACAGGCGGCGGGGACCCCAGTGTGGCCAGGACAGGCGGCGGGGACCCCAGTGTGGCCAGGACAGGCGGCGGGGACCCCAGTGTGGCCAGGACAGGCGGCGGGGACCCCAGTGTGGCCAGGACAGGCGGCGGGGACCCCAGTGTGGCCAGGACAGGTGGCGGGGACCCCAGTGTGGCCAGGACAGGTGGCGGGGACCCCAGTGTGGCCAGGACAGGTGGCGGGGACCCCAGTGTGGCCAGGACAGGCGGCGGGGACCCCAGTGTGGCCAGGACAGGTGGCGGGGACCCCAGTGTGGCCAGGACAGGCGGCGGGGACCCCAGTGTGGCCAGGACAGGTGGCGGGGACCCCAGTGTGGCCAGGACAGGTGGCGGGGACCCCAGTGTGGCCAGGACAGGCGGCGGGGACTCCAGTGTGGCCAGGACAGGTGGCGGGGACTCCAGTGTGGCCAGGACAGGCGGCGGGGACCCCAGTGTGGCCAGGACTCCTCCGATCTTCAGTGTTCCCTCAGAGCTGCTCCCCGCCAGGTCCCAGGTGCGGCTAGACCGTCCTGCCTCTCAGCCTGTGCCTTCAGCGACACTCAGACCGCCCCTGGTGCTCAGGAGCAGCCCAGCACCGCCCCTGGTGCTCAGGAGCAGCCCAGCACCGCCCCTGGTGCTCAGGAGCAGCCCAGCACCGCCCCTGGTGCTCAGGAGCAGCCCAGCACCGCCCCTGGTGCTCAGGAGCAGCCCAGCACCGCCCCTAGACACCTTCCTCGGTGGTGCCCAAGCTCAACGGCCCGACCACCACCACGTGAGTCCCTCAACACTGGAAATTATGATATATATTATTATCATAGTATCATAGTTCATTAGTTCATATTAGTCTGTGTGAGGCTATACGAATGTTAACATAAACTTTTTAACATCAAATTTAAAACGCCTAACATTGTGTTAACATAACAGGGTGCAGTATGCTGTCTAGGATTGGGCTCGCTTATTGTTCTAATTGTTAAGATACTATGTGCTTGTTAAGATGCTATGTGCTTGTTAAGATGCTATGTGCTTGTTAAGATGCTATGTGCTTGTTAAGATACTATGTGCTTGTTAAGATGCTATGTGCTTGTTAAGATGCTTGAGCGTGAGGTGAGGGTGCAGGAGGCGTACCGACACGACCACTCAGTCGTCATCCGCTGGAGTACCGAGGACTCTCACTCCCAGGGCTTCAGGGTCGTCTACAGGCTCTTCGGGGACACCAACTTTAAGGTCAGTGGTTGTCACCGCTCTTAAGGCAAGCTTTATCAACTGTGTGATACATGTATGTGCTGTTGGCTTGTAAGAGGCTGAGCCTGTGTACGTCCAGGCACTCACACTCACGCCAGGCATGGGTGTGAGTGTGTACGTCCAGGCACTCACACTCACGCCAGGCATGGGTGTGAGTGTGTACGTCCAGGCACTCACACTCACGCCAGGCATGAGTGTGAGTGTGTACGTCCAGGCACTCACACTCACGCCAGGCATGAGTGTGAGTGTGTACGTCCAGGCACTCACACTCACGCCAGGCATGGGTGTGAGTGTGTACGTCCAGGCACTCACACTCACGCCAGGCATGGGTGTTAGTGTGTACGTCCAGGCACTCACGCCAGGCATGAGTGTGAGTGTGTACGTCCAGGCACTCACACTCACGCCAGGCATGGGTGTTAGTGTGTATGTCCAAACACTCACGCCAGGCATGAGTGTGAGTGTGTACGTCCAGGCACTCACACTCACGCCAGGCATGGGTGTTAGTGTGTACGTCCAGGCACTCACGCCAGGCATGAGTGTGAGTGTGTACGTCCAAACACTCACACTCACGCCAGGCATGGGTGTGAGTGTGTACGTCCAGGCACTCACGCCAGGCATGAGTGTGAGTGTGTACGTCCAAACACTCACACTCACGCCAGGCATGGGTGTTAGTGTGTACGTCCAGGCACTCACGCCAGGCATGAGTGTGAGTGTGTACGTTCAAACACTCACACTCACGCCAGGCATGGGTGTTAGTGTGTACGTCCAGGCACTCACGCCAGGCATGAGTGTGAGTGTGTACGTCCAGGCACTCACACTCACGCCAGGCATGGGTGTGAGTGTGTACGTCCAGGCACTCACACTCACGCCAGGCATGGGTGTTAGTGTGTACGTCCAGGCACTCACACTCACGCCAGGCATGGGTGTGAGTGTGTACGTCCAGGTGCTCACACTCACGCCAGGCATGGATGTGAGTGTGTACGTCCAGGCACTCACGCCAGGCATGAGTGTGAGTGTGTACGTCCAAACACTCACACTCACGCCAGGCATGGGTGTGAGTGTGTACGTCCAGGCACTCACACTCACGCTAGGCATGGGTGTGAGTGTGTACGTCCAGGCACTCACACTCACGCCAGGCATGAGAGTGAGTGTGTACGTCGAGGCACTCACACTCACGCCAGGCATGGGTGTGAGTGTGTACGTCCAGGCACTCACACTCACGCCAGGCATGGGTGTGAGTGTGTACGTCCAGGCACTCACACTCACGCCAGGCGTGAGTGTGAGTGTGTACGTCCAGGCACTCACACTCAGGCGAGGCATGAGAGTGAGTGTGTACGTCCAAACACTCACACTCACGCCAGGCATGGGTGTGAGTGTGTACATCCAGGCACTCACACTCACGCCAGGCATGAGAGTGAGTGTGTACGTCCAGGCACTCACACTCACGCCAGACATGAGTGTGAGTGTGTACGTCCAAACACTCACACTCAGGCGAGGCTGGTCCGATCTCGCTTCATGCAGGTCAAAGTTCAATCCCCGACCGTCCAAGTAATGGGGCACCATTCCATCCCCCGTCCCATCCCAAATATCCTGACAGTAATCATTCAACAATGTCCCATGCCAGATGTATGACTATATCAAGTTTTAGCTGGCAGTTTCTGCTGTAAAAGTTTACCAGTTCCTACCCTGGCTAAACCCATCCATTGCAAGAATGAGTGCAAGGTTTGGTGCTAAAATATAGGTGTATGATGTACAGCATACACACCATACATATGTGTATTGTTTATAGCATAAACACCATACATATGTGAGCTGCGTACAACATAAACACAATACAGGTGTATTGTGTACAGCATAAACATCATACATATGTGTATTGTGTACAGCATGCAGTATGTATGATAGAGTATGATAAAGTCTAGTAAGCTCAAGAACCTGTACATCACTTGATTGACAGTTGAGAGGCGGGACCAAAGAGCCAGAGCTCAACCCCCTGCAAGCACAACTTGGTGAGTACATCTAGGTGAGTACACACAAGCACACCGAGCTGTGTTAACTCATTAAACTCTCCCGGCCAGTACACTGCACTAATGAGATCACCTCTTACTGTTATGTTCAAACCTCCAGGCTGTAGACCATGAGATAACCTCCAGGCTGTAGACCATGATATAACCTCCAGGCTGTAGACCATGGGATAACCTCCAGGCTGTAGACCATGAGATAACCTCCAGGCTGTAGACCATGATATAACCTCCAGGCTGTAAACCATGAGATAACCTCCAGGCTGTAGACCATGAGATAACCTCCAGGCTGTAGACCATGAGATAACCTCCAGGCTGTAGACCATGAGATAACCTCCAGGCTGTAGACCATGAGATAACCTCCAGGCTGTAGACCATGAGATTATCTCCAGGCTGTAGACCATGAGATAACCTCCAGGCTGTAGACCATGAGATAACCTCCAGGCTGTAGACCATGAGATTATCTCCAGGCTGTAGACCATGAGATAACCTCCAGGCTGTAGACCATGAGATAACCTCCAGGCTGTAGACCATGGGATAACCTCCAAGCTGTAGACCATGAGATAATCTCCAGGCTGTAGACCATGAGATAATCTCCAGGCTGTAGACCATGAGATAACCTCCAGGCTGTAGACCATGAGATAACCTCCAGGCTGTAGACCATGGGATAACCTCCAGGCTGTAGACCATGAGATAACCTCCAGGCTGTAGACCATGAGATAACCTCCAGGCTGTAGACCATGAGATAACCTCCAGGCTGTAGACCATGAGATAACCTCCAGGCTGTAGACCATGAGATAACCTCCAGGCTGTAGACCATGAGATAACCTCCAGGCTGTAGACCATGAGATTATCTCCAGGCTGTAGACCATGAGATAACCTCCAGGCTGTAGACCATGAGATAACCTCCAGGCTGTAGACCATGAGATTATCTCCAGGCTGTAGACCATGAGATAACCTCCAGGCTGTAGACCATGAGATAACCTCCAGGCTGTAGACCATGGGATAACCTCCAAGCTGTAGACCATGAGATAATCTCCAGGCTGTAGACCATGAGATAATCTCCAGGCTGTAGACCATGAGATAACCTCCAGGCTGTAGACCATGAGATAACCTCCAGGCTGTAGACCATGGGATAACCTCCAGGCTGTAGACCATGAGATAACCTCCAGGCTGTAGACCATGAGATAACCTCCAGGCTGTAGACCATGAGATTATCTCCAGGCTGTAGACCATGAGATAACCTCCAGGCTGTAGACCATGAGATAACCTCCAGGCTGTAGACCATGGGATAACCTCCAAGCTGTAGACCATGAGATAATCTCCAGGCTGTAGACCATGAGATAATCTCCAGGCTGTAGACCATGAGATAACCTCCAGGCTGTAGACCATGAGATAACCTCCAGGCTGTAGACCATGGGATAACCTCCAGGCTGTAGACCATGAGATAACCTCCAAGCTGTAGACCATGAGATAACCTCCAGGCTGTAGACCATGAGATAACCTCCAGGCTGTAGACCATGAGATAACCTCCAGGCTGTAGACCATGGGATAACCTCCAGGCTGTAAACCATGAGATAACCTCCAGGCTGTAGACCATGAGATAACCTCCAGGCTGTAGACCATGAGATAACCTCCAAGCTGTAGACCATGAGATAACCTCCAGGCTGTAAACCATGAGATAACCTCCAGGCTGTAGACCATGAGATAACCTCCAGGCTGTAAACCATGAGATAACCTCCAGGCTGTAAACCATGAGATAATCTCCAGGCTGTAGACCATGAGATAACCTCCAGGCTGTACACCATGAGATAATGATCTAGGCTGTGCAAAATTTCCCTAATATAACAAAGATTAACCTATTCCCATCTAAATTCAGTCAAATTTAACCAAATTTATCCTATTTATAACATCTAGAGCTGAATTAGAGTTGTGATATGATTAAGTACATGTACTTAATCATATCACAACCAAAAGAATTTCACTCGTAGTGGTATTAACGTGTATTTCCAACTCTAATCTAAATGAGGTCTATCAACTCTAAATGAGGTCTATCCATCCGGGGATAGACCTCATTTTTTGCAAATATAATGTTAAGAGAGTGTAGTTAGTGGAGATCTTCCTCGTATTACCACCACTCAACCATCTTGATCCTTTATACCACACAGTGTTAGGAGACAGTTGACTTTGGATATAAACCTATCCTGCCTGTACCTAGCCTGCCTGTACCTAGCCTGCCTGTACCTAACTTGCCTGTACCTAACTTGCCTGTACCTAACTTGCCTGTACCTAACTTGCCTGTACCTAGCCTGCCTGTACCTAACTTGCCTGTACCTAACTTGCCTGTACCTAACCTGCCTGTATCTAACCTGCCTGTACCTAGCCTGCCTGTACCTAGCCTGCCTGTACCTAACCTGCCTGTACCTAGCCTGCCTGTACATAGCCTACCTGTACCTAACCTGCCTGTACCTAGCCTGCCTGTACCTAGCCTGCCTGTACCTAGCCTGCCTGTACCTAACCTGCCTGTACCTAGCCTGCCTGTACCTAGCCTGCCTGTACCTAACCTGCCTGCACCTAGCCTGCCTGTACATAGCCTACCTGTACCTAGCCTGCCTGTACCTAGCCTGCCTGTACATAGCCGGCCTGTACCTAACCAGCCTGTACATAGCCTGCCTGTACCTAGCCTGCCTGTACCTAGCCTGCCTGTACCTAACCTGCCTGTACCTAGCCTACCTGTACCTAACCTGCCTGTACCTAGCCTGCCTGTACCTAACCTGCCTGTACCTAGCCTGCCTGTACCTAGCCTGCCTGTACCTAGCCTGCCTGTACCTAGCCTGCCTGTACCTAGCCTGCCTGTACCTACCCTACCTGTACCTAGCCTCCCTGTACCTAGCCTGCCTGTACCTAGCCTGCCTGTACATAGCCGGCCTGTACCTAGCTAGCCTGTACCTAACCTGCCTG